AGACTCACCTCTTTAACCTTGCTTTCGATCTCCCTGCTTCTCCCCCTGCCTCCACCCTCCCCCACCCCAACCCTCAGCTCGGGTCCGTAACTCTGTCTGTCCAGAGCCTTGAGACATCCTCCCGATGTGAAAGGCGCTATACAAATGTAATTTTGTTGTTGTTGGTGTATTATTTTATATTAGTGAGTAATAAAGTCATGAACATTGTCAACCTGCTAAAGTGGACAAGACATCTTCATCCCTTACCAATAAGATGATATTGAGTTTCCACTAGACTTCAATAACAATTAATTAGGTGTCAGCCTGGCTCAGTTTATAGCACTGTTGCCTCTGCATAAGAAGATTGTGGGTTCAAGGCTATCAGGACTTTGAACCAAGTTTTGTGCAACACTTCAATACAGTGCTGGGGTGTGCTGCATTGTTGGAGCTGCTATTTTTCAGATGAGCTATTAAACTGAGGTCCCATTTGCCCGGTTACGTGAACGTTAAAGATCCCACGGTATTATTTGAAAAGAGAGTTTCTCTTGGTGTCCTGGCTAACAAGGCACAAATAAAACTGATCACTCACTTCGCTGTTATGGGATATTGTCTGCCTTGTTTTGTCTACAAAAATGCAGACATTACATTTTACAGTGAATCCTGTGAAACATCTTCCTGAAATTAAAGTTACTGAATCAAACACAAAGATTATTACCCCTAGGTGGACCAAACCAGTACATTAAATAGATTCAGTTTTTCCACTGGCTAATATTTCCTTACCTCAACTGCCAGATAAAGATTCACACAGTACAGCAAGCTTCACTGGTCTCTGCAATTAATAAACAACATTGTTTTAAAAGGTAAATAATTATAGCTGGTTCATTAACCAATTTCATATATGATGCATGATCAATACTGAGAAAAGCTTACAAAACCAATCAGAGGTCAGATATTATGGTATTCATTTTAAGTATTCATTTTAAATCATTTGCAGCAGCCTTTTTTAGTATATTTTTGATATAACTACCCATACAACATTTTCTTCTTTCCTGCCCTCAGTTCACGAGCTATAATGAACAGTTTCCCAATTTTTTAAAAAAGTTGATTCATTTAGTTGTAATCAGGAGTCCTGTAGCTCAGTGGTTAGTGCACTCGCCTCGCGAGCGAGAGACCTTGGTTCGATTCCTGGCAGGGCGAAACCATGGACAAGTTTCCTTACTCCACACCTTGATAATAAACCTTCAAAAAAAAATTGGTCACTTCAATCCACGACTGTTTGTGGGACACTGCTGCGCGCAATTGCCTGCCGCGTTTCGCCCACTAATATAGTCAATTCACTTTAGTCTATTCTGTGATGCGGTTTGAGATGTCTAGAAGACGTGAAAAAGCACTATATCAAATGCAAGGATTATTATATTATTATAATTAATTTTAATCACAGAAATATACCTGACATTAACTGCAGAAATAGAAGTTTCTGTATGTCTCAAATGTACTCATACATGAACCAGTTTCCAGGTCCAACCCACCATACAGGCTTCAGAGAAGTCTCTTTAAGAGCAGACTGCTGAACCATTTTTTTTAAAAAACAAAACTATTTGAAGTGACATTTCCATCATACCCTGTTCAAATTCAGCCTTTAAATTGGGTATTGAGGATTTTCTTAAAATTAGATTGGAATACATTAAGAAAGCTTTACACTTTTTTTTATTAAACCAACAATTTTTTTATGGCAAACAAATTAGACTGCATTTCTGTATTTGCTTTTAACAACTAACTATGCACATGTTATGTGCATCCTCTTCAGAGTTTCCCAAAGTGCAATTGGTTTGGGAAATTCAGGTAAACACAAGTATTAGTCAGTTGTTTATTTCATTTATCTACTAGTATTAACCAATTCCAGTTCATACCAGTCAAAGCACTAAAACAATATACATGTAGCTGTAAAATTAAACCTAACTGGGCTTGTCTATTGAGAAATGTGAATAGTTAATAACATTTTTGACTTGACCCTGGAATATCTTTAAAAAAGTAGAAATATGGGAGGGATAAAAAACAAGATTGGGGAAATTAGTGATGTGTATAATATGGACAGTTGATGGATGAATATAACTCTAGCAGTAATCAATCAATCCACTATTCAGGTCATCAAACTATATTGTACCTATGTGACTCACTGTAGTTAACATATAGTAATCATATACTTACATTTGATATTGCGACTTATCATGTCATGAAGACTTCTCAAAGGATATGCTGTAAAGTGGATTGACTGTGTATTTTGTGGAAACGTAGCAGCCACTTGTGCACAGCGATGTCCCACAAACAGTCATGGAGTGAGGGACCAATTTTATTTGGGGGATTTGTTGGCCAGGACACCAGGAGAAACTCCTTTCTCCTTTCGAATATTATAATAATAATAATAATCCTTGCATTTGATATAGCGCTTTTCACGTCGGGAGGACGTCCCAAAGCGCTTCACAGAACACACTGTAAAGTGAATTGACTGTATATTGTATATTGCCATGGGATCTTTAATGTCCACCTGAACCGGCAGATAGGACCTTGGGTTATTGCCATTATTTGAACATAAAGGTTTTGAGAAATCGATGACAGACCTAGCTTGTGATTTCCAACGTCAAGTGTACTTTAATAATAATCCTTGCATTTGGTATAGCGCTTTTCACGTCGGGAGGACGTCCCAAAGCGCTTCACAGAACACACTGTAAAGTGAATTTACTGTATATTTGTGGGCGAACGCGGCAGCCAATTGCGCACAGCAATGTCCCACAAACAGTCGTAGATTGAAAATGACCAATTTATTATTGTTTTTTGGAGGGATTATTATTAGGCATGTGGAGTAAGGAAACTTGGCCAAGGTTTCGCTCTGCCTGGAATTGAACTCAGGTCTCTCACTTGCAAAGCGAGTGCTCTAACCACTGAGTGCTCTAACCACTGAGCTACAGGTCTCCAAACTTTCAGCATTGGTTACTTTTTCTGAAGCATGGATTAGCATTATGGAACATAAGGTATGGTTAATATTCACTGACTAGACCACTATGCCCTCAAATAGTTAGCATTTAAGGCTACAATCTACAGTAAGTATCCATGTACACAATGTTTAGCATTAAACCTTTTGTCTCACTTTGTGCACGTGATTGGTGTGGGAGTTAAAACCACTGTGGTGGATAGCACATTGATTATATGTGTAGATGCATCCACACACAATTTGTATTCTGCCCTTCAGCAAATTGTCAAGGGAGGATATGGCTGAACAAAGTTTTTTTTAAACAAAGTTAGCCATTTAACTGAATATTTAAATCTATGAGCTCATTTACCTTATATCAACGTCCAAGACACACCATTGCATAATGTTTCAGATGCAAGGTTACACACAAGTGTCATCTGTCTGTTTAGGTGGACATCAAAGATAGCACGGCACAATCCAAAGAGAAGAAAGTGCCTCCAAATTTCCTTGCCAACAATCCCCCAGATAAAATTGGTGGCTCACTTATTGCTTTTTGTGGGACATTGTTGTGTGTAAATTAGTTCCCAAATTCAACTTAAAAGTCACAACAATTCACAGTAAAATTTGGGAAGCACTTTGACACATTTCAATGTAGTAAGATTATATATCAAATGGAATTACTCATTGGCATTGTCTGTTCTAATTCTAAAACGGGTTAATGTCAGTAAATTCAACCTCATGGAAAAAATATACAGAACTGGAAATCCCCTACATTTAACAGGTTTGCAAAGGAAAATGTCTGCAGGATCGTTGCAGCATTTACACCTTCAAACCTGATCACAAGCGAGACAATTAAAAAAAAGCAAACTTAGTGTCAAATGTTTGATACTTGTTATGCAAACTAACCAAGTTTCAAACAAAAGTGCAAATCTGATAACATCAGCCATTGTAATCTGCATCTGGAATGTTAAATGTCAGTCCATTTTATGTTCTCACGTGTAATTCAGATTCATTTTTCAATTCTGGTCATAGATAATCTATGGTGAGATAGTTTCGTCATTTACATGAGTATACTTTTAAAAAAAACTAATTTGCCTACAAATAAGTCACCCCACACTCCTATTTTAAGCTATAGAGGTAAACAGTAAGATTTCACTTTAAATTACATATGAATCACAAGGCATTTACTGAGTCATCCAGATCTATGTTTAGCACATACAAATTAAGACGCTTTATTACAAAATTACATTTGTGTAGCATCTTTCACTTTAAGAATGATCAGAGCCATTTACTGATAAGTATAATGAGAGCTACCTCGGGTACATTTTTCTCGAAAAAGCAATGTTCTGTACTATAGCGGCAGTTAAATTCAGGCATTGAAGACAAAGCACCAGATATTGCTGGCCAGCTTATTATTTTATCTATGCTTTACACCTTCTACCGGTTAAGAATCACAAACGTTTCCAGTCTGTTTGGTGGAAACACAGGTTTACCATCATGGCTGAATAAGAAGTTAGAAACTTACACGTGCAGAAAACATTCTCTGCTTCCAGATTAAAATCCAATATCGAAGACTGCAAAAAATTCTACATTGAGATCACAGGAACCTAGTATTCACATCAGTGAATGAATACTGCCAAATTTCTACTTCCTAAACCTATACCTTTTTGGGCCATTTCATCCATCTCTCGAAGGTGCCGATTGTTGCTGGAGACAAATCGCATGACACTAACAGCATCCTGTATTTTGCCAAATTTGCCATTCTGAATCAAAAAGTAGACTATTTGATTGTGGGGAGTATCACAGTTGAGCCCAGTATTGTTGTTACACATCCCATAATTATCATTTTCAGCCAAGTACAAAGTGGGTGGTAAGATAACTGGAAATCAAACTTCTTGAAGTTCAAATGTGGAAAAACGCATATTGAGGAAAGCTGTAAGTGGCTATTATGCTGCTGCAATGTTAAATAGTGTTATCAGTTAAGTGATTCTGTTCTTCTTTGGTAAGTTTCACCCGCTCCATGTAATGTAAAAAGGTGAAACAAGAAACTAGTAATTTTAAATACATTTAATAAAGGTTACATTACTGAATTATTAAGAAAAACATTGAATACTCCACAGGATTAGTAACTCAAATTGAATCAATGCTATTAGAGATTCCCTTTTTCATAGTTTTAACATTTTGCTGCCCAATGAGCCAAACAAGTTTCATTTAACTTAATAGCAGTTCCAGATTTTCCCACCATTGGCTAAATCAAGACATAAAACAGTGGAGCTTTAAAAAGTGTAAAGTCTATGGGATTTTACACGTCTAATTTGTAAGCAGAAGGAAGCATTTAAGCAGCAGTCTGTAATTGTAAAATGTTTAAGTTGTTCAGTAGATTTGCTTATTTTAATTATGCAGTACACTTTTGTGCAAATACATGAACCATCTACATGATACATCACAAAAAACTTTGAAAGGGAAGTTATTAAAATATGCACGTGAACTTTTCTACAACAAATCTACAACCTCAATGCAATAGTTGCATGGGCTCTAATCCATTTGATGCTTGTAACTTCAAAACAATAGAAGGACTAGAATTAGAGAGAAAAAAACTTTCCACTCCCTGAAACCAATGGATTGTTTGGTTTCCTCAGAATAGTTGAAACACCAACGAAATCTTATCTGTGAGGAGAAAAATAAAACATACAACCAATTGAAAACAGTGCAAACAGAAGCTACATTGGAAAGCCTTTTAGTGAAGCAACAGTATTTGCGTCAAAAATACAAACACTGCAAAGCATTAATAACAAGGCTTCCGATTGTCACATATTACTTATATAGGCTATTCAGTGTACTGCACATGTATGACGCTTCTACAGTCAACTGGATGAAAATAGCCTTTTTGTTCGTTCATACTTCATGGTTCACATATGACGGTTTCCATGACAAACTCATTTTCAAAATGTTTGATTTTGTGACAGTTTTCTGCTGAACGTTTCTGAATACCTAATAGAGGGAAAGGAGAAGGTTTGTTTGTTATGTGTTATTTCAGAAAAAGCATGCTAAAGTATTGAAACAAAAATATACAACTAAATTAGACTGCTGGATGATTTAATCATATCCATTATAAAACTACTGCCCACACACAGAAGAAATGATTGAATATTTGTACTCGGCATTAACAAAAATCAAGCACTTTCAACAGTCAGAGGATCATACCTTTCAGAGTATCTCTACGCTGCAATGTGTAGGTGTCTTTCCCTGCACAGAGACGGTAGATGAAAACCCCCAATTTGTCCACACTATCAATACGCTGGGTCACAACCATGTCTTCGTGAACAAGATAAGTCTGGGGAAGGTAGTCACCAGTCTGGGAAGTAAACAAATATTGTTTCAAAACACTTACAAAGTGTTACTTTACATCTGAATTAATTCTGACAAGACAACTAGCAAGTTGAATGTAAGAGCTCTGTGATGCTACCCTGCGTGAGGGTCGCTATATAAATGCAAGTTGTTGTTATTTTTCATTCTTGTAGAATATTAAGTGTTATAATTTTAAAAGAGGAATCTTTAGCATAATACAACTTCCAAATAGAGCAGATGCTCATGGTCTTCTGCTGGTACTTGGCACATTGAACCATATGCAAATTGTAGAATTAGTAATTTTGACAATCTGTAAAATCCCACATTCATAACAATTTCAAATACTCAGTGTAATTTGTGGGTGTTTATGATGAGTAATTTTAATCACTGGAGCATTACAAACTATTTAGCATTAAGAGTTCAATAATTCCAGTGACTGGCACTACAATTTATCCTTTGAGCTATTATAAAGTAATAGGTGATTTGTGGGAATAAGCATGATGCTTGTTCAAGTGAAATTATTATCCTCATGTGGTATTTTTTCACTTCAAATTTTAAAAGATAAAGCTAATTTCTAACAAGGTCATCAAATCAACTTTTCTGTCCTGAATTTTTACAAAGGATTTCTAGAGAAATTATGTTAATTCCAAAACACGAGCCATCCTTGGGAATATTCCTTTAAGAACCAGAATTTCAATTATACATACCGCAAGTTTCATGAACAGCTCCAGCAAGCTTCGTGGTGGCATAACAACTGAAGTATTCAGTTTAATCACATAGCATTTATCCAAATCCAAATCAAGATAAGCAGTCAAAAGCTAAAACAAAAGAGAGACTCATTTATCATACATTTGCTCAAATACACAGAAAGCCATATGGTTGCTTCAATTTCAATCAACAGATTTCAAAACATTTACCATAATCCATCTCATTCAAATAAGATAACTAAAGAAAACCTGGGTTTAATTTGGAGACGATTATAAAACGGAACTACTTATCAAAAGGTTTAAAAGACCATTTAAAAATTGCAACCTAGCTTTTTCAGATGCTGGTTGAGCTACTATGATTTCTTGCAATTCTAATTTGTGTCAGTTTTTCAAGATCTGCACTTTCCTTTATTAAAATAAGAGGAGCTGTGGGATACACCCATTGTTGTTCTCGTGTGATTGAGGAAATACTAATAGAAAAACTGAGCTAGTACAGAGAACCTTGATGGTCTAACAGCTACAAATGAAAGTAGTAGTATCCCCTATTGCTCTTCACTGGCCTACACGTTGCTCAAGAAACCAGATTACAGATGGTTGAGATCATATTTGCATCATACTCAGATCATCAGGATGCATGTTTACATAGAATGAGACCATGTTTCATATTCCACTCATTGGACAAAGCAGCTGTAATAAAAACAAAAAAAAACTTACCATCTCAAAATCATGCACAATAACTGCTGGATCAGAATCTGAAAACTCTGGAACTGGGACATTAATCATGGCCACATTATTATCTCCCATAAACTGCACATCTTCTGAAGCAAGGAAATAGGGATCCTTTATTTCTGGGGAATCCGTGAAGATTTGAGAATCCACATATCGCATTGCACCATGGAAGACTTTGTTCTAAAAGAAGTAGGTATATTTAGTTTCAAGTCCACATTCTTGACAATAATCACCTATTACAATATTTGCTCAAAACTATTCCAAGCTAAGACCCATTATACTTAGATCTAGAACATAATCAATGTTATTTAAACACAAAATCACTGCTTTTTTTAAAAAAAATCAAGATCAATGTGTGCACTGTAGAAAGAATATTAAAAGGTTTATAGAATTATCTTAAGTTTTCTCTAGAGGTAGTACCACCCGAAACTTGTGCAGCTTCTGTCCTTGTACCATAGAGTGCTACAGTATTATATGACCTTTCAAGACAATAATAAGTAATCTATTTCCAGCACAGACATATACATTGTGTATGGATCATGCTGTAACAGGAGGTCTCTACCCACTAAGTCATAAGAGAAGCTGTAGTCTTCGTTTAAGAGTCTTCATTTTAACATATATGGATAGAAAAAAAATACCTTTGGCACAATGAATCTGTACAGACATGCACCACCAATTATCAGCCCAGACAGGATGAAAGCAAGTCCAAGGAGTGTAAAAAGACATCTTCCAGTTGAATTAGCTCCTCCATCCACTGTAGCAGCTTCTGGATCCTACAGGAGACAAGAACCAAATGTTACATTAACACTTTTTTTAATATGAAAGGCCTTGTTCCCAAAAATCCAACTCCTCAATCCACCCCCTATATGCTGAAAATTGTTCAATATTAGCACTTCTAATTCCTGGGAAAATGCAATTCAAACACTCATGGGTCATTTTCAGATTTAGAACAAAATTATATACCAGAGGACCAATGACTGATGCTACCTTTTTTTTAATAATAATCTTTGCATTTGATATAGCACCGTATTATATCTCCGAGACGACTCAAAGCCCTGCGTAGAATATACTCGCTCCCTCCCTTCCCTCCCCTCACCCTGACCATTTCCCCCCCTGCTCGGGTCATGACCCAACTGTGCAGCGCCTTGGGACATCCTCCTGACGTGAAAGGCGCTTTATAAATGTAATCTTGTTGTTGTTGTTGTTGTTACTGTAAAGTGAATTGACTGTATATTTCGTGGGCGAAACGAATTATAGGACATAAAGTACAATGTTTCTGGCCGTCACAATGGTTGATATAATTAGCTTTAATGCTGTCTTATACTGCACTTTTCACCACAAATCACAATGAAAAAAAGTATAAATTGAATTTATAGCACAATTTGGGGACAAATAACAATGCCAAAACTACCTTGAGGTAGTTTCTGAATCTATACCGGCCTTACAATCAATCATGCCATAGAAGTTCTTAAGTCGATGCACAGATACAACTCTGAATCAGGCATGAAAAATCATAGAAATTTACAGCGTATGAGGCTGCCATTCGGTCCGATTTATTTCCTTAAGATTCACGGACCACTGGCAGTAAGCCTGATAAATTTCTATTGGGAGTGATGTGAATCAAAGCAACCTTTGAGGGTTGTCTAAGCAGTGGGGTTCCAGTAAGATTTGATTGTAATACAATCCTCAATAAAGATTTATATTGCATTTTTTGTGCAATGAATCAACATTAATCAAGCTTCTTGCTCTCACTGTACTGTTAAAAGAATATATACTGTACGACGTTGTCTTCCCTTCTGGAATTGTACTAAGTAAAGAATCATGCAAGTTCACATAATGAATGACAATAAAATGGCTCAGCAAATGATACTAGGTTATGAAAGCAGTATAGCATAAAAAAAGTTCTGTGCAATGAGCACACAATTGCCACAGTATGGCTAAACTGTACTCCACATCCTGCAAAAGTAGCCAGCTACTGAAAATTCTATTAAACTGCACAAGCTTTTGAGTCTCGGTTGTTTTAGAATCTGCTGGTTTATCTCTGGGCTGCACCTGCTTCCTCTTATCAAGAAAAAGGAAGTTGCAGCACAAACACTGAAGGCCAAATTGGCTCAGCAAGCCATTTAACATACTGAATTTAGCTTAAAGTGAAATGACAAAATAATGCTGCAATATACTTCTTTGTTTACATTTAAGAGACCCTAAATATAACCATGAAAGATGAGATGATATGAATATTTCAATATCATATTTGATGTTGCACTCAGCTCTGATTATATCATCAGTTATCAATGGCGACCTGATGGAGGGGAACAGGCTTGCACCTCCAGTGACAATAAGCATTGAACCCAGCTGTGTAATATCATAGAACTCAGTTCTAAAAAAAAATGCGAATACTGCAATTTAGCATGTTAATGTAGAAAACTTAACTGGGAAAAAAACTGCCCCAATTATCTTCTCCGTGATCAGTATACGCAGATTATTTGCATTAATATGGAGCCTAAACCACAGTTGCTTGGGAATATGGAAGTTCATGGGTAAAACAGATCTGCAGAACATAAGGTTACATTGGCTCTAGAAAGTTAAGTTCATTAAACTGAAGCATGGAGTTTCTGTTCAATATTCAGCAGGTAAACATACCACCTAGTGTAACCTGTTGACCATTCTGTCATCATTCAAATGTGACAAATAATTACCTTGGTGATTAATTACTGGATAATTACTGGAGAGTGACAAAGAAATAAACTCACAAATATATTTGACAAAAATCTTGACAAGATATTAGATGAGAAAGCATGCATTCCAAGTTGTATGCTCTCAGTACATAAAGTACGTTAAGAGATCTTCTTGCACGTCTTCAAGTACCAATACCTTAAGAATGGTCCTCTTGCTCATGATCACTACTGTGCAATGGCATGCTCACAATTGTCATCTAATTTGTGTTTAGGTGGCATATTAAGTGCCCAATTCCCTCAAAAGCACTGTGCAAAAATAAAATCACTCACTTCATTATAGGGAAACTATGCTTATTCTCAGTATTTAGGGGGAAGAATGCCAAACAAAAAAATAATCCCTTGTATAGATATTTCCTCTTTTAGTCACTTGAAATGGTAGAATTACCCAAGAAAAGTACTAGTTTCAGAGAAACCTACTGGTGACACAGCTATCATAACTTAACCAAAAAATACCCTACAAAACCAATAGCTAGAGGATCAAATTTTGAACTCATACCATTTGTATAATCATAAAACACAACAGAAACTTTACAGCACTGAAAAGGCCATTTGGACCATTGTGTATGCTTGAAATATTGCAGCTTCCCCACTGGAGCTATCTCACCCCACTTCTCTCCTCTTTCCTCCCCCTCAGGAAAGTTTTTCTTTGTGTTTTCTGCCTCATAAACCTCCAGTTTATAAAAAAATTGTCATTCACCTGTATGCAAGTTGTATCCCACAAACAAGTGAAATTAAAATTCAGGATAACAAAAAAGGGAAAACTAAAGTCAAATTGCTATTCATTTTCTTTCTGGAGCAAGTTTGAACTAGTTATGGCATAATTAACATTAAAAGAAAATCAAATCTGTTGGGGCATGTTCCAAACATCAATCTACTTCCCCCCCACACGCAGATTAATTGCCTCGCTTTGGATGGTGAAAATCTACAGGTCAATGAATACCCAAAAGAGTAAAACTGATTAACATGTGGACCATAACCTTTGGGACCACAAACCTTTATCGGAATTGAAGATCTGGAAAAGTGTATATGTTGGAGATGGTCAAGATTTTAAAAAAACACATGCAAGAGATTAAGTGAGACAGATGATAGATAATTAACAGATTTTAGAACCCTATCAATGTGAAGCAAAGAAACAAAAACGGGCAGCATCAAGAACATACGAGGAGTAGGCCACTTACCCACCTTTCCCTCTTATCCCTTGATTTCCCCCTACCTAACAAAAATCCATCGACCTATCAAAGAGATGTGAAATTTCAACAAAGAACTGGGGAAAAGGGGGAACAGTATATCTAATTGGAGGAAGTTATGCTGTAAAAATGCTATAATTATGAAACCCATTTTAATAGTTTTGCAACATAACTACAGTATAATATAGTAACTGAGTTTACTCTGCAGAAACATACACTGAGGATATGCTCTAAGACCTCTAAAGCAATGGGGGAAGACAGCACTGCTGAAAATTAAATCATTCTAAAAAGTAACAATGATATTTATCAACATTTCAGGATGAGAACCCTCAATAGTTCATTGCACAGAAAAACTAAGTATACCTAAGTTGAAATTCACTTTCAAGGGTACCACAACTCTATATGGTCAGATTTCAGTGAAATCTATCTGTATTTACTCAAACCTTCTACATCAGATGTTACTAACCACACTAGCCAATGGCTACCATCGCATGACACACAGCCTCCCCAAAACTCTGGCTCATTAGGGCTACTCCCTTCCTTCCTCAGGCATGTCCCTCCAGAGGTTAGATGCTCTCCCTTTCCTCCTTAATGGTCACAATATTTCTTCTATTCTTGGGTGTGGGGAACTCTGGTTGAACCTCTTCCACCCCATTTCTGGCAACCTAGTAATTTTGTTTGAAAGAAACCTTCACCATAATTATTCGTTATTGCAGGACCATAACTGGCTTCTGCAGTAGCAGAAGCTGGAAATTTAGGATTATTTTTAAAGTGCATGAAAATTGTGAGTATATAGACCTTTAAAGCACTCCACTCAATACTTCCAGCCCCATTTCAACCCAGCACTCCTTAAGTCATTTAATAGTAGACATCCAAGTCTTCATATCTACTGATATCTGCTCCACATCCCCCGGCCCAACCGCCCTACCAACGGTGGCCCGGCCTTCAGCCTCTCAGCCCCGAGGCTCTGGAACTCTATCCCCCAGTGCCTTCGCCGCTTCCTCCCTTTCCTCCTTCAAGGCCGATCTCAAGACCTTTCTATTTGACCGTGCCTTCAGTTCCCCTCTCGACTCTCTACCCCCTCCTCGCTCCCTCCCTTCCCTCCCCTCACCCTGACTATTTCCCCCCTGCTCGGGTCCTGACCCAACTGTACAGCGCCTTGGGACGTCCTCCCGACATGAAAGGCGCTCTATAAATGGAATCTTGTTGTTGTTGTCGACATGACTTTTTAAGGTCTCTTGTATACTTCAAAGAACTTCTAGAACTCAAGGCACACTACAAACAGCTTCTTAACCTCTTAGCAACTGCCCCTCTAATTTTACCTATGTACCACATTTGACAGAAAATCTCCCAGATTCAATAACCTCTGGTATAAATGGCGTACTAGGCATTGCAAAGCACCCTGACCCTTGCTCCCAACACTGCTTGACAATGGGTGTTAGAAGCAACGTGATTCACATATGCATAGCGTAAAAACACAGCAAATGAGAATCTCACTGAACTTACTCCATGCTCCTTTCAAACCAACATTCCTCACACTATTTAAATATCAATATTACAATCAAATGTCTTCATACTTAATATTCAGCACCAATATTTTGTAGTAATTCCTAAACCAATCACTCCATTAATTTCGTCATGATCCAATATTTGTATTGGGAGTCCTATAGCTCAGTGGTTAGAGCACTCGCCTTGCAAGTGAGACACCTGGGTTCAATTCCAAGCAGGGTGAAACCTTGGGCAAATTTCCTTACTCCACACACCTAATAATAGTCCCTCCAAAACAAAACAATAATAAATTGGTCATTTTCAATCCACGACTGTTTGTGGGACACTGCTGTGCCCAATTGGCTGCCGCGTTTCGCCCACAAGTATACAGTCAATTCACTTTACAGCATATTCTGTGAAGCTCTTTGAGACGTCCAGAACACGTGAAAAGCGCCATATCAAATGCAAGGATGATTATTAATATTGCTTATTACACATAAAAACAGCATTCCGAGGGCCAAGGGGCGCTACAGCCCAGCAAACATTTCTGGATACTGAAAATTATTGACATGCATAAATGGGTCGGAAAGGGTTAATTACAGTCCAGGCACTTCATCCGATGTTACACAACCACCAAGGCACACAGTTTTGTGATTATCCTCCCAAAGTACAGAGAGAAACCCAAACATCAAAACTGTGTGTGTGTGTGGGGGGGGGGGGGGGGGGGGAGGGTAGAGGAAGGAAAGGAAAAACGTCACACATCCTCCTGTCGCTTTGCAGATTAAACTCTATCCCCAAAAAAAAAATCGCAAATACACTGACAAAAGGCCGATCGATCCTTCGTATTCAAAACCTTTGGAAAATCCTAAACCAAACCAAACCGAACACACACAAAAAAAACACAAAAGCCTGGATCCCTCCTGGTTCGGCTTCGGTTGTTTTAAAAAAACACGATTCGGACAAACTGGGATTACTAACGACCTTATATAACCTTCTGCCTGAAGCGAACCCATCTGAAATACGCAGTTAAGAGGGGAAGGGAGAAGGGGGGAAGTCTGTGCGCATCGTCAGCTTAACTGAAGGGTTGGCTGCGGTGGAGAGGGGGTGGGGAGAGGAGAGAAAAAAGGGGAAGGAGGGGGGGAAGGGAAGAGGGGAAAAGGAAAAGTGGGGGGAGGGAAGGTAGAAAAAAACCTCTTGAGGGCGACGATCGCCGCCGCTTCGCACCAAACCGAGCGACTCACTTCCTCGGGGGGTCAGCTCGAGCCCCCGCCACCCCGCCACCCCCCGCCGCCCAGTCAGTTGTGAGGTGATGTTCGAGCGTCGACGAGAAATCCTCCATTCGTGGCCGCCGCTTCCTCTCCCTCACATCCATCACCACCACCACCACCACCCCTCCTCGTCCTCCCCCCCGCCCCCCCCGCCCGCCCGCCCCCCGGGGGATTGTCGGCCCAGAGAGAGACAAGAGTGCGCACCGCAGTGCGCGGGGCCGACTTTCCAAAACACCCCACTCACTCACTCACCCGCTCGGGCACCAGCAGTACCCCTTTCTGGTCCTTGACGGTTTTCTGGGCGGCGGGCGAGTTGAAGCCGATCTTCACCATGTTGACTGCGGGAGGGTCGGTCGGGCTGTTGCCGCTCGAGACTCTCGGTGACGCTGACGATCTCGAGCTGATCTCTCTCTCTCTCTCTCTCTCTCTCTCCGCTCTCCCCCCACCAGACAGTCGCGCACGCGCACAAACGTACGGCACCGCCTGTGCGCGCGCAGCTCCCACTCGGGCGCCCCCTCCCCCCACCACCACCGGCTGCTCGCTCGCTCGCTCGTGCGCACGCGCGGTTTTGCACCCGGCACCCGCAGCCTCAAGGTCAAGCGTCAGCGGCGGTGACGTCACCCCCCTCCCCCCCCCCCTCCTCCCACCCACCCAACTGAGCTCTTTAAAGAGAGACAAGTTTTGTGAGGTGGTGGATGTGGGGTTTTTTTTCTCTCCCTCTCGGGGCATCTGACACATTGGGAAACCCCCCCCCCCCCACTCACCATGGTTAAACACGACCGAGTTTCACATACCTGCCCCACCCCCGTCCCCCGCCTGTAGGTGGGAATTTCCCCGAGCTCTTGAGATGCCATCCGGCGTGGAGGGGGCTATATAAATCCAAGTTGTCGTCGTCGTCGTCGTTGTTGTTGCTGCAGCAACATAGGTTTGGGGTCACAGAGGGTGATTTTAGGACAAACACCGGTTTGGAAGTATTTCTTCACCCAGAAGCCAAGGAGCCAGGAGTTGATGGTTGAAGCGAGGACGCTGAACTTGTTTTCAGGAACGGCCAAATATTGCGTTGGGAGGATTTAGTAGGGTCGGTATTCTGGAAGGATGAGATCCAATGGGCCAAAGGCTATCTTGTTCATCCAAACAAGATAGTTATTCCAAGAAGCAGAAATGTCTAATTGTGCCTCAATCGATGACATTAGCAGCATTTTCTGTAAATTTTATTTCTTAAATGTTGGATGAATGAACATGGTATAACCATAATGTGGTTGAAATATGTATTCTGCGTGTCGGGTGACAGCATTTGACGTTCCACAGATGACACGGGTATAGCCCACACGTTGAACTTGGGTTGCCTGGTTTTCAACCAGGTAGAAGGGGGAAACAGAAAAAAAATCAGCATTTAAGTCATATTTGCTCATATGTTGGTAATCTGTTGCAGGAATTCTAGGAGTTCATCACTGAATTCACTGTTTGACAGAGAATCCAGACATTCTAGGGACGAGAACTCGTAAGAATTATAAAACAATCAATACTCCCACTAAGGTCTAACACTAAAGTGAAGAATTTGAGATGTTTCCCACCACACTAGATTTGAATGTTTGCTTGAGAAGGCAGTTTATTATGGTTATAAAATGCCACTGCTGTAGGAGAAGACCATTAGTAACCATGGAAACTGAGCTCATGGGTGAGAACCAGGATTACTGTTTGTAAATGTAAGCAGATCAAGGACCATGCAACATTTTTTCATGACATCGAATGCAAAGCCTCTTTCCACAATTTGAGTGGCTTCCATCTATTTATTTGATCATTTGATATATTTTTTAGGGGGCCTTTTTTCTCTAATTCGCAAAGTGGCTTACAGATAGGCTTCCTGAATATTCATATATTGTGTTGCAAAGCAATTGTGTTGCTTTGCAACAATGCCCTCCATTGTACTGGTATATGTAAAGGCATGGTTGCAATCCACAGTTCCTCTCTAAACAGGATGCTTTGAAGCCTTCATCAGAATGGTTTGTGTTCTATTGTTCCCCACCCTGCAGAGATGCCTGGGTTTCACTTAGTGGAATGAATACACAAATCTAGATTATCTATCAAAACCACAGACACTGTGAATCAGGAAAGCAGGCCACACAGAAACATTCACCTTTCTAACAATTATAAATCCTTTCAGAGCAAACAATTTAGCTTTTAGCTAGAGAAAACAACTTTTTACTCCTGTGGATCGAAACTCATCAAGCTCCCTGGGCTTTTCCTCTGACTCACCGAACCAGTGCGTAATCTAGGCATCCAGTTCGACCCCCTGCTGTCGTTCCTAGTCCACATCCGGTCCCTGACCAGGACCGGCTTCTTCCACCTCTGTCACAATGCCTGTCTCCGATTGTACCTCACCCCAAATGCAGCCGAAACCCTCGTGAATGCATTTGTCACCTTCGGATTGGATTACTCCAATGCACTCCTCACCCATATACAACAACAACAACAAGATTACATTTGGGTAGTGCCTTTCAAGTCGGGAGGACTTCCCAAGGCGCTGGACAGAGTTCAGCATTTCAGACCCGAGCTGGGGTTGGGGGGGGGGGGGGGCGGGAGGGAGAGGAGGGGAAGAGGGATAGCCGATACCATGGTTGAAGAGGAGGGTCTTGAGGCGGGACTTGAGGAGGTTAAGGAGGGGGTGAGGCGGAGTGACTGGGGGATGGAATTTCAGAAGTTGGGGGCAGAGTGGCTGAAGGATCCCCTGCCAATGGTGGGGCGGGTGGGTCGGGGGGCGTGGAGCAGGCCAGAGCCGGCTGAGCGGAGGGAACGGGCGGGTTGGTAGGGGGTTAGGAGGTCGCAGAGGTAGGGTGGGGCGAAGCCATGGAGAGCTTTATATGTGAGGACCAGGATCTTGAACTGGATCCTCTGAAGGATAGGGAGCCAGTGGAGTCGGGCGAGAATGGGGGAGATGGGGGTCACGGAATTTGGTGCGGGAGAGGACACGGGCTGCAGAGAATTATCTGCAGCCTGTGGAGGGAGGAGTTGGGAAGGCCGACAAGCAGGGCGTTTTCATAGTCGAGCCTGGAGATGATGAAGGCATGAACAAGAGTTTCAGCGGCCTGAGGGGTGAGGTAGTGGCAGCGTACGGCAATGTTACGGAGGTGAGTGAAGGCAGAACGGGTCATGGCTTGAATATGGGGGAGAAAAGACAGTTGAGGGTTGAACAAGACACCTAGGTTCCTGACTGGCTGGTGAGTTGTAGTGTGCAACCATGGAGGTTGATGTTGCCGGAGCCTGAGGTGCTGAGATGCTGGCGAGAGCCAATCAGGAGGGCCTCAGTCTTGTTCACATTCAACTGTAGGAAATTTGCCCTTATTCAAGACTTGATGTTTGACAGGTAGACTGTCAGGACAGCAGTGGTCCTGGAGTTGAGGGTGGAGGCAGAAAGATAGAGTTGGGTGTCATTTGCATACATGTGGAAGTTGACCCCATGTCTGCGGATGATGTCACCAAGGGGGAGCATGTAGATATTAAAGAGGAAAGGGCCAAGGACAGAGCCCTGGGAGACGCCAAATGAGACAATGCGGGGGCTGGAGGATAAACTGTTCGAGACAACGAAGTGGAGACGGTGAGAGAGATAGGAATCGAACCAGGCAAGAGCAGATCCGTGAAGATTGAGTAAAGCAGAGAGGCAATGTATGAGGATGAAGTAGTCGACAGTGTCGAAGGCGGCAGAGAGGACGAGGAGGACAAGGAGGCAGAGGAAGTCCTGATCACAGATGTTCAGACTGTCATTCGTGACTTTGACGAGGGCTGTTTCCGTGCTGTGGGCAGCGCGAAAGCTGGATTGGAGGGTTCAAAGAGGGAATGGCGAGAGAGAAAGGAGCGGAGCTGGGATGCGACGCCTCATTCCAGGATCTTGGAGAGGAATGGGAGGTTAGAGAGGAGGGATGGATCCAGGGAAGGTTTTTTCACGATGGGGGTGATGACGGCCGTTTTTAGGGGGGTGGGAACTGAACCGGTGGACAGGGAGAGGTTGATGACATCGGACAGGAGGGGGGCCAGAAGGTGGAGCTGGGAGACGAGGAGAGAGGTGGGGATGGAATCGAGGGAGCAGGTGGTGGGTTTGAGTTTGTGGGCAGTCGTGGTGAGGGAGGAGGGAGAGATAGGGTCGAAGGAGTATAGGTGAGGATGGGTGGGGGCTGGGTCATGAGGGAGAGGTGATGTGGGGATGGCTGTGGATGGGGCTGAGGTGGCTGAACGTATGCCCTCGATTTTAGAAAGTCCAGCATCTCTTCACAGTTGGAGTTTGAAGAGAGGATGGGCGAGGTATGGGAAGGTGGATGGAAGACGGTTAGTGGTGGAAAAGAGAGGTCGGGGTTGTCCATTGCCTCCAAGATAACCTTGGAGTAGAAGGAGGATTTGGTGGAGGCAAGAGTGCGCCGGTAGATCTTTGTGTGGTGAAGCCAAATCTGCTGATGGACCGTTAGTTTGGATTTGGTCCAGGCGCGTTCAGCAGCTCACACTTATGCCTTGAGGGAACGGAGATGGCTGGTGTAACAGGGGGACTTTTGGGAGTATGAGGTAGTTCGGGAGGTGAGGAGGGTAAGGGAGTCCAGAATGGAGGAGATGGAGTTGTGGAGAAAGGAGAGTGAGGAGGGGAGATCGGTCAGTGAGGACCAGAGGTGTAGGAGTTCAGATGACTCCAGGGCAGTGGAGAGGGAGAGGGAGGACATCTTTTTCCATGGACGGTATGTAGTGGTGGAGGGTCAATTGCGGCAGCCAATGTGCGCATGCTGAGACTCGGAGCGGATAGGAGTGTTCAGTGAGCCATGGTTAGCCCGCTGGGCTGGTGAGGCTCAGTGAGGAGATGGGGGCAGTGATGTCTTCCCAGTGAGACCTGGCCTCGAGATTCAAATGAGGCGGGCGGGATGACCGATTACATTTGTATAGCGCCTTTCACGTCGGGAGGATGTCCCAAGGCGCTGGGACGTTTACTGACCCCGACCAAACTTTGTACCCACATCTCACCAGTTCTGGCCCAGGCTCCACTGGCTCCCCATCATTGAACGGATCGACTTCAAGATCCTCACAATCGTGTTCAAATCCCTTCACTTCCTGGCACCTTCCTACCTCTCTGACCGCCTCACTCCCCAATTCACCACCTGGCGCCTCCGCTCGACTGGCACCAGCCTCCTGCTCGTCCCTCACACCCTCCACCCCACCATCAGAGGTTGCGCTTTCATCCAAAACTCTGGAACACTCTCCCTCAATCCCTCCACCTTGCCCCCTCTCTCCCCTTTTTCAAGTCCCGCCTGAAAACCTTCCTCTTGGACTGTGCTTACTGCCACCCCCCCCGACCCCCCCCAGGCTCAGAGTCAGGCTCCACCACCGTTAAGCGCTCTGAGACGCTACCCTGCGTGGAGGGCGCTATATAAGTGCAAGTTGTTGTAACTTATTTGCTGAAATGGAGCACGTTGTCAAATATATTTTGCATTCAGCTCAATTTTGGAGAACATTTACACACTGGAAAAGTGAAATTAAACTGACCATGAATTTTTTCCTCTGTTTATAGTACATGCCAGGCCATGCCCTCACACTAATAAAATTGGATAGTTTGGTGCAAGATTAATAAAACGTTAGATTCAGGATGTTGCCTGGGTGAACCAAATGTTTCTAAACACTTCTCTACTATCACAAGTGTATCTCCTTTCATACACTACTGACACAAATAGCTCATCACAGTTCAGGAAACGTTCTCAAAATGGCAAAAGAATATTAATTCTTGAATTTTCCCTGTGTACTCTTAACTGTCAGTTGTTTTTAAACAGAAATAATGCTGCATATCCGAAAGTTATTTTACCTGAACAGAATGAATATTAGTAAGACATAGAATGTCATGTGACCAAACAGATACTGTACACGAAACCACCCCACACCTTAAAATGGCAGATAGAATTGTGCATCATAAGAATTGGAATAGAAAGTTGATTGGCACCATCTTGTGGGATAAAAGTGCAATTTCTGTTGACAATATCGTATAGTACAGTACTTTATGCTGGTGTCAGGGGCAAGTCAGTATTTTTTTTGACAAGATTTGTGCATTCAGGGTGAAAATGGGAACCCGTAATGTAAAGCATTCTCATTTTCCCTGCAGTTGCACAAAATTATGCAAAAAAACGATGAAGATATTAATAAGGAAAATGATCTTCAGTATTATGAAAATATAAGAAGCAACAAATATATGGATTTCCCATGTTACGCTACTCTGTTGGTGGTAATAGAGTGAGGTGCATATTGGATCATATTGTACCAGATATTTAGATCTTATTTCAAAACTGTTCTCAGGATGACTCAGCTTCAAAATAATGCAATACGTAGGCTGTACTTTTTAATGGATTAAATGTTCTCTGTCCAGATCAGATGAGCAATTGCCAAAACAAGACTCCACTTTGTTATTTAAACATTAAAAATGGTTGTTTGCAATTGCTTCTACAATGTGTTTAAAATGCTTGAATTATTTTGATTTATTTAGTAATCCATCCATGCTTCTAAATTCCGATCATTCCGTTAAAGCTTTGCAACCTGCACAAGGCTCCGGTCAATCTCAGAGATACTTTTGCATCCTGTAATGTAGAAAAAAAACTGCAAAATTAGAACATACTACAAAAACAATATAAACTTACATTTATACAATGCCTTTCACATCGGGAGGCTGTCCCAAGGCTCTTTCAAGGGTTTGACAATACACAAACTTAATTTTACATTTAAAATTCCTAGATTAATCAGAATATCTAGTCTTTCTTCGAGTAAATGACAAAGAATTATGTTGCAAAGCTTTTTAAAAGTTGATTTGTAGAGAATTCATACCAGATAATGCCATTGCTGTATGAAACTCAGCTTTTAAAATTTGAAGCAGATCTTTGACTCCTTCTTCACCCTGATGAAAAAGTGTAAGAAATGAACTTTTTAAAAGTGTTGTTCCTTTCATTGAACATTAATTTGAACCTAGTGTGAAGTAGAAGTATCCCAATTTGAGAGTATTCTTAATTTGCATAAGTTGAATCAAAATCGAAACATTGCTTTTCTTTGTGGCGAGACTCCACTTCATTATTTTTCCTGTTGACCTGAAGTTGATGTAACCTGAACATTCATACATTCTTTTGAAAGTCAAACTGATGCACAAGATTGTAATTAACATATGATCCCATTTCTGTTGACGTCCTTCCTGAAACATGAACCCTTCTTTCTCTTTCAGCAGCTGATTGACTGATTGACCTTTTGTGCATTTCTAGCATTTTCTGATTTCGTTTTTCCTCAGCCAGTCTCTTTCATTTTTATAATATATTGCCTCAGATGGTGATCATTATTAATGGAGGTATGTGCACTTTAGAAACAGATATATGCAACTGAAAATACATGGATACTCCAATGAGCATTTTATACTAGACTGCTCCCCCCTTCCCCCAGCGATAGAGAATCATTGGCAGAGACGTACGTCTGGAGCCTGCCAGCTCTGGGGAAATATTACCAGAGTCAGAATACATGTATGTCAGGATTAGAAGGTGAATGTTTCCAATGAAACACATAATTCTGTAAGAGGCAAGACAACTGTTGTCTTGGCTCACTTAATAACATCTCTTCTCTGGGACAGATGGTTGTGGATTTGAGTCCCATGTTGGGACTTCGAGGGCATAGTCTAAACTGACACACCCATGCAGTGCTGGGTGGAGTGCTGCAAGGTCAAAAGGGCCCATTCTTTCGATTAAATATTGAACTGAGGCCCCATCTGCTGTTCAGGCAAAACATCCCATGGCACTATTCAAAAAGAGGTGTGTTCCTCCCAGTGTCCTATCCAGCAATTCTTTATCCTCCAGATAAAATTGATCATTCACTTAATAGGTGTTTGTGGAACATTGCTATCCATAAATTGGCTGTCACATTTCTTACAAATACGGTCACTATACTTTACAGAACCTTTGTAAAGTACTTTTTTAAAAACACTGTAATGTTTGACATTATAGTTCCCATAGTAAATACAAGTATTATTATAACTGGCTGTAAACAATGTTCTTCTCTGGGCTACTCAAGTATGTCTTATGGTAGGTTAACCAAGAAAAAGCATCAACAGCAGTTGTGGTGAGGTGTAAGGTTACAGAAACGGAGAGCAGGGGAGGAGGAGACAACCATAAGTCGTGGTCAAAGAGGCATGTTTTAAGGAAAGACAGTTAAAGAGGGAATGCAATGGAAGGGACTTTAGGTTAGGGGGTGTAGAAACTTAAATTGTGGCCACAGATGATGCTGTGGAGAGAGTGGGAATGTACAGCAAGCCTGAGTTACCTTATAAGCCAACCCCCAAATTATTGGTCGACCAATAAAAACACACTTTGCTCCAATTGCTAATGCTTTCAGCACATCAGTTCCTCTTCGAATTCCCCCATCCATATAGACTTCAATACGACCTTTTACAGCTTCTACAACCTCTGAAAGAACTTCTATCTGCAAATGAAAAAGAAAATTTATTTTTGTAACAAATAATTATTTGTGCAAGCACACAACCTGCTCCAAAATCTGGAATCTTTTCACCAATCTAAATTACATTTGTTTCCAATCAAGCAAACAAACTCTGGTCTGACTGATTCTAACCTTTAGCCTGTACATAATCCTGTAATGTCAGGAAGAAGTAATGAATGAATTAAAAGGAAAATAAAATAATCCATTCAATAAACTTACAGTTGCATGTACTCCGTCAAGCTGTCGCCCTCCATGATTAGACACAATGATTCCTTGTACACCATGCCTTACTGCCAGTTCAGCATCCTCTCTTGTCAAGATGCCCTTCAGGATGATTGGAAGGTCGGTCAGAGATTGCAGCCATTGAATATCCTTCCAACTAAATGATGGGTCTATGATATCAGTGCATAGGCCAGACTTGTCAAGACTGTCCAAGTCATTCTGCAAGTGAAGAATATAATATAATAATAATTCTTGCATTTGATAGAGCATCTTATCACATCTTCGAGACGTCTCAAAGCGCTTCACAGAATATACTGTAAAGTGAATTGACTGTACAATGTGGATTGGGTGGATGGGCGGATCAGAATTCTGACATTGTATGAAAAACAATCATTAAAAATAGTAATAATTAGAACTTAAAATACACATGAAAATCTTTGGAAGGAGGTACTTCCTAAATAATAAAACTATAAATAGATTTATTTACTTGGTGTTGTTGCCAATAAAACTATCATATAAATATATTTATGTTACCCATTAGCCTTGGTTTTCTCATGGCATGTTGAAAACACAACAAATATACGGGTTTCCCAGGCAATGGTTACCTAGCACTCCACTGATCAGACAGTTTTATTATACTCAAGCCCTATTGCATGGATGATGAAATTGAAACCAGATTCAGTAATGTCCTGGGGCACATCACTGGCTCCAGATTTAATCTCCAGAGACTTCCTTATGGCACATGAAATCCTGAAATAGGTGAGTATTATTTTAAGACAATCTATTTCATTTTGATTATAGATTTTAATTCAATTAAATAGAATTGAATCATCTTTTTTTTCGGCAAAGGCAAAATTCACTGGACTGTAGTTAGCCTTTCCCTGCAACATATACTATTCATGTCATTTCTGCTATAGCCTCTAATATAACAGATAGTTTGTTAATAGAGAAACATGTGGCACTCTGAACTAATATTTCACATGTTTCAATATCTCCCAAATATATTCCAGTTACATTTTATAAAAGAAGGTAATTTATGAACGTGGCATCTTCACTAAAGCTTTACCTTTCTTTTGCAACTTTTAACTGAAGGATTTGCAAAATACAAATGGAATCAATAACTGAGGAATGAAGCTATCGAAAGCCTTGATCAGAACACTAGAGGGAACAAGATGAAAAAGTAAAGGCACACTCTGGATCCTGCGACACATATGTCAATTTTCATGTGTATCTGATGAATACCACACCCATCTATTCCCACCTCCCGGACACAATTATTATGGATTTTTTTTTGTCAGCCGGGTTTCTGACACGTGCTGAAACCCATCGCCATGCTTAAGAGTATCCAAAACAACCTGAGATTTCCAGGCATCCCACCTGCACATGGATAAATTTTTGGAATGGAATGTGATGGAATACACACTCTCTCCCTGGAGGGACTCATCCTGCTTAACTAATTCCAGAAAATATTAGGTATAGGTTGGCAAGAGCCAAAGTTTGGGAATCCCCAGAGTGTGGTTGGGGTACTCCTGGAGTGTAACCAGTTAAAACCGCATAGCTTGTCATTGAAATCGCCGTCTGGCAAGCTTTCCCACTGCTTGTCGAGCTATCCGTTTGAGGAATAGCAAAATAACACACCGAGATTTTTAAACCACATGATGGATATTTCTTGTTAGATAGTTGCTCGACCTGTACCAGAATCAGTACAGCATCACCTTGGTTGTGATCAGTCTGTTGCGTTTGTGCTGCTCAAACTAACTTCTGCAGTTTATCCGGTAGAGTTAAAAATAGAGTCAAATTATTGCGTGAATAAATACACCATATATTGTTTCCCCATTGTGAAAAAAATTGGGTCTTGAAAATTAAGCCTCATAATCCACAGCTCCTCAATGGGATGTCATGTATGACACTTAATAATAATTATCCAAAACATCATATTTTATATGACTTTAAAATGTGAATTGAGAGCTTGGAATGATCTCTATCTACTTGCCTTAAATGCTTCCAAGTTTTTAAGCGTCAGGTGGGTAGGTATTTTGAAATGGTTCAAGATGTCCTGTCTTCTCTTGCCAATAAAGGGCAAATCCACAGTCACCACAAGAGATTTATAGCCCAGAGAGTTGACCCGCTTCACCAGCTGCTCAGTTATCACACGCTTTTTGAAAACGTATAGCTGAAACCAGTTGCAGGCAGAGGTGGAAACCGCAGCAATTTCCTCCACAGAGTATGTGGCCAATGTGCTAGTAACGTAGCATATATTCATGGCCTTCGCAGCTGCCAGACACAACTTCCAATTATTTTTGTCAATAACATGTTGGGCAGATATAAATAATGTTATCTCATAGTTTTACACTGTATGATAAAACGCTCTTGAAGCATCAGTGAATTTTTAAAAAAAACGTCTAAATGCTAAGACTAATATACAAAGTCACTCTACAACTACAAATAATATAACCATTGTACAATGTTGTCTAACGAAGAGAATTAATACACAACTAGACAAAATTTGTAGGATATCTCTGTACTCGCACCACACCTTGCCAAATGCTTTTAATTATATCTAAAACCAATGTTTAAAATTAGGAACCATCCAAATATGTATTGGTAGATATAAAAGGTTATTTTTTCATACGTATTTAAAGACAGTTAACAGACTGCCTAGAATTCATAAACTGTTTTTCTGAAATAGTTAAAAAGAAACCAACTAAGACTGAATCATAAAGAAAATTCCACAATTTTGTGCATTCTCAAATTTTCAGACTTAATGGTGTTCTGTTTTTAAAAATTAATTTAATANTTTTTAAAAGGAATTTCAGGCCTTTCCTAATGATCGACAAAATCAGTAATCATTTTTGAACAAGGTATGTCTGTCTTGATATCACTTACCTTTGGCAGAGCCGATTTCTCCATCAGGACAGGCCAGGCTCTGAAAGCCAGTTGGGGCGATTCCTACAGGAAAGCTGAGAGCAGAACCCTGTATAATTGTGCTTGTATCTACCATGGAAACATCTCTTAATAGCCGGGGACGCAGGTAGATTCTGAAAAAAAACATTCTAATGAATAAACTAACATTGGAAAAAAGAGTCATGAAAAGTATTTTCTCTGTAACGTGTATTATTCTATGGATATTACAAATAACGGCAATTAATGAAAATCAAGATGTATACCTTCTCCAAAATTCTCAGATTTCTAGGAAAGTTTAAATTATAAGATTATATTGTCTTAGCTCGTAGTCTTCTCAATGGTCTCATAAACTACCACCAAATTATAAGTATACTTCAAGTTGAAGGAATGGTACATTTTAATTGTCATTGTTTGCATTAAAGTCACTGGCATCTAAATTCTAACAACTAGAATCTCTCCATTAGCAGTCAAGAAAATGCAATGAACCTTTTGAATGTGATTGGAGTGAATTTGGAAGGCATCTCTCCCTTCGTCTCTCCACTGGTGGCCTGTTCTATTCCTCAACCTGTTAGTAGTGCCCAGGCAGTATTTCTGCTTGTGGTACCACTGGAGTTGCAACTCTTTCCCAAGAATAAAGCAACAGTAAGAAAGCTGACACTTTTTATTAATTAAAAAAGGAAGAAATTATTAACATCAATAACTTGTTCAGCCTCTACTTGTTTGGAGTATGACTTAAAAATGGTCATAACTTCATTTTAAATATTGTACATAAATCTATCCCCTGTACATCAGATTTTTCTGGACTTACAGAAACCTGACATTTGATTATAAGTCATTTATGCTTAAAACATAATATAAATCTCCTGGCCAAACACCTGAAAAACTTATTTCATTCTCTGAATTAATTCATCCAACAACCAGTGAAACTTCATTGTTCCTATGCTGTTAGTACCACCCATTATCTAAATCCAAACATAATTTTCCTGTAAGTGTAATATTTCTACATAGCTTTCTAGAAAAGCACAGTTTAAATTGGGCAACAAATCTTCTACTCTCAAAAAAATTCCTAGTACTGTAATTGTATTCAGAAGGTAGCGATGGGTGACTGGAATATACTTAGGGTAAGTCATCGGCACCAAAAAAAACATGAATCAGCCTGCATTAGTATACGATTATTAGAATATTATTAGAATATTAGAAAATCCCACCATTAAATGGGATTTTCGAACATTATTAATTACATTTTCAAGTTGTTTTTAAAAGTCGATGTCTTAATTTAAAAACAGTGGCTTGAATTTTCCCTATTGCTATAAATGGTAGAAATTCTAGCCTACAAGGTCATAACTTAAACTGGGCTTTAATGTTGAAGACTTTCCGTACCTGTCCACTTTAAACAGTTCAAGTGAGTGGTTATTAGGTTTGCTTTTCTTTCCCCATTTCTCTTGATTTGGGGAAATTGTTTTGTTAAAAGATGATGAGGACTGGCTTGGAGCAGTCACTAACTCTTGACAGTGTAATACAGGCAAGTTAACATTACAATTGAACAAAATCCCTTGTAAACAATTGAACCTCTTGAGGAAAAATTCAGCTCCCTCACATGGTCAGGCTTGGTAACTTCTCAAGTCAGTTTCTCTGTTATTACTAGCAGCACTCACTAGTTAAAGAAGGAAGTAGAAAAATAACAGTTTGATTTGGAAATGGGTCTAGATAGGGAGACATGTTTTAAATAAAAGGATTCGTAAGTTTGATTCAAGCACACATATCGTACAAGAACGAATAAACAATAAAACAATTGGGTTTAGCTGAGGAAGGGGGATCATTGATTGTAGTGTTTGTTTTATTAATAATCTTAGCTACTATGCATCCTGCCTATATTAACAGGCAGCATCTGTATAAATACTTGCAGAAAATGCAAACCTTTTGAAAGCAAGCAAGTTCCTGTCTCTGGATTCACAATCATCTGCACCTCCAGCGTAGAAATCCCACACAGCTGTAGATAAACGCCTCTTAGCAAAGGCTTCAAAGTCGGCCAAACAGATCATAGACATGGTAATGTGAGGTCTGAATCTTGATGAGTGAGAAATAAAAGAAATATTTTGATGTTCTAATCTGCAATAAAATGCAACAGATCCTGGTTTTATCCCAAATTCTCAACTGCAGTCTCCTAAATCGTTATTTGGTTCTTGATGTAGGTCGACGCATAGTTCTGTTCTGAGTCAATGAATAACCGTCACATCTCAAACGTCCAATGTTATTATGTACGACAAGTATGATAGTATTAAACCCAGAAAAATAGGGCTTAGGATAAATCCTGCAATACCATCAACTAATTGCTTCTTAGCCACTTAAATCTCTGTACATTACCACAGTATTATATCGGTTTCTCTGAGAAAGAGAGGAAATCAAATCCAGAGCCTAAAACATAAATTGCACTTTGGTGCCAAAATGCAATATTTAGTTCAAGCCTTCATATTGAAAAACAAACTAAATACTGTAGTTAGTTTCCCATTGTACCAGCCAGGACATTTGGCTACTATTTTATCTGCAGCTCCCTTCTCTTTCTTGGTAGCATTTCCACTAAATATGTATTAAAAATTGGTAAGATAGTTTTTGTGCTTTTGAGACAGTTGCGTAGTCTTACATTGAACAAGGATTTCGAAGAAATAGATGCAACATTTTGATGGTTATTCATTAACTCAGAACAGAACTATGGGTCGACCTACATCAAGAACCAAATCGATTTAACTGGATGGCCTTGCAGAACTATAGAACTCCAGCACAAATGTTTGCAATCAAAGGATTCCAGTTTTGGTTCTTTTTAAACCAATAAAACAAAATATATTAAAAGAGCTGGATTCCATCTGGGGAATATTTACCCTATGTAGTATTACATTAACTATGTAGTATTACATTAAGCAAATGATTTACACATTATCCAGGGATCAAAGTGCAGACATTGAGCGAACAAAAGATCCAAGGCATTTCTTTCTGTAGTTTACAAATAAAAATACGATTTTATGTCAGAAAACATGAAAAAAGGCCCACATTTCTGCTTAAAGGCAGCAGCGAGCTTTCGAAGTCTGGGCTTAAAGCTGTGTCGTCTCCTAATGAATAACATCTAAAGGGTTTCTCATGTTGTGGCAGAGTAACAGTTGGTTTATAATTTACGACCTGTTTAATCTGTGCCGTTGCGCTAGTTTGCATTTGTTTTAGAATATGCTAAATTGTTGGCTTCGCTTTGTCTCATTAATATGCTCACTGATGCACTTGAATTCACCTGCTCAGTTCAACAAACCCAACAACCTCTCAGATCATCCCTAATATCCCCCTCCCTTGCCTCCTTTAAGACCCGTCTCAAGACCCTCCTCTTCGACCGTGCCTTCGGTCATCTTTCTACCCCTACCCTCCCCGCCCTCCCACCTCCTGATTCTCAACCAGCAGCTCGGGTCCGGATCGCTGACTGTCCAGCACCTTGGGAAGTCCTCCTGATGTGAAAGGCGCTATGCAAACGTAATTTGTTGTTGTAATATATCTAGGGCCGCAGAGCTTTCAAAATAGTGTAAAATAATGAAGCTGTCTTTATTTTGGTTTCTTGGTCATCTTCAAGTTGACTCTTCTCTGGTGGGATAATTGATCTCCTTACCCTCACACTTGTAAACCTTGCTGCTGTGACCCCAGCACCTGTAATACCATCATGATTCCACTTAACAAACAAATGTGAAACGAGTGGACTACTTTTACGGTACTCACACTCGTTGAATTGGAAGAAACGTTCAACAGCATTTGTTTGGGATATGCGCAACAACTTTCATTTACATATCACCCTTCATAATGGGCAGCGTACTGGATGCACATGCTGGTAAATGCAAATATTTCTGAAAAATAGCCTCTTTAAATCAACTCCATTGACCTTTGCGCACCAGATGGGAACAACCGCACTTTTCAATTGAAAGGAATGGATATAGAAAGATAACTAACAACTAGCAGAAATCTTTGTTGGATTATCGATGCATAAAAACATTGGAATGTCTGGAAATAAAAGTTAAAACTCCTGTTGTTTTACAGTTCGTAAGTTTGACCTGTGCTGCTTCATCGAGTTTTATTTTATGCTGAACCTTTGGGGCTGGTGCTAAAATTCTCAGCAGGTCTGTGCCTTAAGGGCAGTGTATTTTTACTGGTACACAGCAATCTTCAGAATCAAAAAAACTACTGCAGTCTAACAGGCCAGTCTTGGATTAAAAACATCATGCACACCCCATCTCTCATACTGTTCAATGTTTCTTTGTTAATTAATCACCTTAGCCCTCTTCAATTTCCTGACTCGTCTGTCTCCACGCATAGCCCATTCTCCATATTCATCACATCCTGCAAAAATAATTAAATATTAACAGTCTCTTCACTTTCCCTCTTCTGAGATGATTCCCCGCCCCAGTAGAAGTTGTGACTATGTTAAAACATATTAGGGTTCAGTGAGCTGGAACTGAACAAAACACGATTATGAAGCAAGGCTGGCAGCTTTATAAATGATGTTACTGCAAAACTTGCCTTTAACTTTTCATGAAATTGCTTTGAAATTTAAGGGAGCTCATTGCTATCCTCACTGATTGAAATAGGAAACTCGCTCATCATCTTGCTTCAATTCATAAACGATTACCAGCAGTTGGGGGCACTCAGTGGATGTGTCAAAGTGCATATGCAGTCAGTTCTCAATCCTGCATTGATCCAAATGGCATTGTAACCACAGCACTACTATTCTGGGTACAACGATCACACAGAAAGTTCAAACATACTTTCCTTGCAAGACTAAGAATCTCTGCAGACAGAAAGATAGTCTGATGTGACATATAGGAGTGATAACCGCAGACAATCTAAAGTTTGTATGACTAAAATGTGATTCTAGCCTTCAAAATCAGTCAAGAAAGAAAAATAACATTTTTTTCAAGGGCTTCACCTGAAATAATATGAAATGAGCTTTGGTTTATGTTTTACAGCTATCTGATTTACATTTAAATCAGATTTATAGTTTTGCCCCTTAGTTCAGTTTGCCACACTATACCAAAAATCAGCTGTTATTTCTCTAGAGGGAATGTGGGTATACTTTTCTCTTCATATTATGTCCCTCTTTATAGATTGAACATACAATGGTAAAATAGTATTGGTCATAGATTTGGCATAACTTAGCATATGTAAATACATTTTGATTACTTGTAAATGCACAAATGAAAACCACAATAGGTATTAATATACAAAAGATATCAATGAAGTTTTAAATTTTAAATTGCGATTTTAAATATAAATAATCAAAGAGTATCAACAAAAAAGAGATGAAAAGATACTGATTTTCAATGGGTCATTTTCCTGTCAACTGATGCTATAATATTATTGGTAGATCTCGTCAGTAAAGCTGTATGACAAAAATGGAAGGTGCAAGTGTAGCAGAAATGCTGAAAAAACGAAAAACAATCCAATATACTGATTTTTTTTGGTGAGATAGGGTGTGCAGAGCCACAGTAAACTCTGTTAGTGGAGTCCTGTAGCTCAGTGGTTAGCGCACTTGTCTCACAAGCGAGAGACCTAGGTTTGATTCCCGTCAGGGTGAAACCTTGGGCAAGTTTCCTTACTCCACGCACTAGTAATCCCTCAAGAAAAAAAAACAATAATAAATTGGTCACTTAGATTCACGACTGTTTGTGGGACACTGCTGTGCGCAATTGGCTGCTGCGTTTCGCCCACAGTTATACAGGCAATTCACTTTACAGCATATTCTGTGAAGCGCTTTAAGACATCTAGAAGACGGGATAAGGCGCTGTATCAAATGCAAGGATTATTATTTTACGTTCAGACAACTTTGATCTGCATTCCTCCTACACTACACTTCATGAGGTTATCAGAAGCCCTTCCCAATGTTTTAAGAGCACTGTTATGTGCTTGCAGGCATCTGTTAATATTTTTTGCATTGCAAACTGTCATAGCATTTCGTAGGAACCAAATGAAGCAATTCCTGGATTAATCGGCAGTGAGACCATAAAGATGAGCTGTGCTTTATATCAAAGACCATAAGCATTTTGTGAATGTTATTGTGCATTGAGGAAGAGGAGGGGAAGGTCAGTGCCAGGTTATATTTGCAACAGAAGCTATAACGGGCACGCAAACTGGCTAAATCCCAAATAACACATAAAAATCAATCAATTATATTCCAAATAATTACAGGTTGCAGGGCTCTTGTTTAGTGATTCACGATGCCATCTGCACCTCTCAATTAAATTACAATATTGTAATTGTCGCCAGGTATCTACCGCTCTGCATTACTCAATGTTTACTGCATGGTACAGACTAAACAGGAGCAATAATTGCAATAGGAGATTGAAGGTTTTCTTTAAGTTGTTTAGGTCTGAATTTGTGCCACAGTTAATAAACCCAAACTCCTACATAAAAATGTGATACTCCGGACACTTGGGTCTATTTTCTTCATTCCTTAACTGGCAACTAACTTGCCTTTTAACCAGTAAACCTGCAGCAATATTCAAATTTTCACATTACAGTGGCAAGCACCTAAAGGAACATAAGTGATATCTGGTATAATGGCTCAGCATAAACTACATTTAAAATAACACAAAATATTTTTACAATTCACCAAAACACACAGCTGGACTTTTATCCCACCTTGCATAAAATTCTTACCATTTGACCCATCTTATCTGTCATTGCTATCTGTTTTTCTAGTTGCCCTTTTATTATTGATTTAATTCGCTTAATTTCTCACCATATCCCTTAATGTTATCACTGCTCAGGTGCTTATCCAGTTCCCTTTTGAATGATTCTATTGATCCAACCTCAATACTGTTGTCATTTGTAATGAACGTTTCCAACTTTCTGAGTGAAAAAATTGCTCCTAACCTCTCCCTTGGTAATCAGCCAGAACTTCTCTAATAAATAGACAAATCCAATCATAGAATTAGAGATTGGCAAACACGTATACAGAAGCCAAAGATCATTCAGCTGATGAAGCAAATTCATATTCTCTTTACCTGAATTCTTGTTGGTTACCTCCCTTTATTTCTGTTCTCCTTCCTTTATAGCCCACTCATGAAGCAACTAGCAATCTACTAAAGGTGGATCCACCCTACATTTGACAAACCTTTTATTCTTTATATGCTTATTAAATACCTTAGGGCTCCCTTTTATGTTACCCGCTAATCTTT